ATCGGAATCTGGAGGGGTTTCTCGACACCGTGGATTGCGCAGTCTCCCTTCCTCCGTCATCGGTAAGCACCTTATAAGTTCCATGTTTTTCTTGTGCTGTTAGCTTTTAGGCCGTATTTAGTGATTTTTTTATTATTGTTTTTGAAAAGGAAATTTTGGGGTTGCAGACTTATTCTCCATGAATCTTTGCTTCGAAAAGTATGCCTTGTATTACTCTGTATTTTCTTACATCTTCTACGTACAGAAATGGGAATACAATAAATATTTACCCTATTTATATAATTGCAATAGAAATAAGAAATTATTTTTTAAAAAGGAAAGCAAATGGAATGGACGGTGAAGAGAAGGCCACGTAGGATTCGGTTTAGGGTAATTGGGAAGGAATCATAGTCGGATCCACGTAATATCGAGCAAGCTAAGCCAAGCAAAGCAAAGCCATACGCACAGTAAGGAAGACAAGTTCATCGGACCAGCCAGCTAGCAGTAGCAACTAAGTACCTTAATTAGTCGTAGTCTTTTTCTATTTTTTTTTTTTTTTTGTCGAAAAGATACTTGCATTACCAAGACAAAAAAAGTTACATCAAACCAATTTCCGAGCACAACCACGCCCGAAAATCAAAACCAATACTTCCCGTAGGAAACAAATCGAGGGCTTTTTTGGCCACCAAGTGGTAGTCTTTTTCTAATAATATTGATGATTAGTCTTTTTTTCCTTTAAGAATGATATGATTAGTCGTAATCTTAAAAAGAAATTTATTTTTTTGCCTGGACCTTAATTACAGAGTTTTGGTCTTTGGGATACTTTCCCCGCAAGTGGGAGGTTCCAAGAAGCAAGGAATGAGATCAAGTCAATCCAAGATCCCTTACAAATCAAACGATGTTAATTACTTCCACCGTGTCTAAAAGTTAAATCCTAAATCCAAATTCCCACTTGACCCCGGGTTGTTTGGATGGATCAATATAGAAATGAGTCAATTCGAATTACGTGCCCCACCCCAGGTAATTGAAATTGACTCAAAACGGATCAATTCAAAATACCTCAGACATATTGATCCATCCAAAATTTTTGCTGACAAACGAGGCAATTTGGTACAATTGTCTCAAAATGAGACAATTGTGTCAAATTGATCCGTTACAATTCCTCATCCAAACGATAATTACAAATCATAACGATTTCTCTCTGTTGCTCTGTTTTCTTTCTTTCGCAGGTGAGCTTCGTGGTGGTCAAAATCACAGCAATCACCCCGCTCTCCCTCCTCCAACGAATCAGCGACCTCCTCCGCTGGCAACAAGTAGCAAAACCATCATCATCATTCCACCTTCCATGGCACAACCCAGAAACCTCCATCCCAATCTTCTCCAAATCAACCCCGCTCTACCACACCTCCACCCAACCTCCCCACCTCACCCCACAAGAGCTCCAAGACCTCCACCTCGCCCGCACCCGCCTCCACAAACTCTGCCTCCGCTGCTCCCAATCCGGCCTCCCCTTAACGGTCGACGCCGAGGACACCAACCTCCAACCGGCCATCGACTTCTTCACCTACACCGCCGCGATCGAGCACAACACGAGCCACACCCCGGTCGTCTACAACACCATCCAGGCATACCTAAAAGACGCCAAGGAGCGGCTGGTCCTCGCCACGAGGGCCGCCGACGAGATGGGAATTGCGATGGGGATCAAGCTAGTCAGAGGAGCCTACATGTCTAGCGAGAGGAAGCTGGCATCCGAGCTCGGAGTGGAGTCCCCTGTTCACGACACGATCGGGGAGACACACGCTTGTTACGACGATTGCGCCGGGTACATGATCGACCGGGTCGGTTCGGGTTCGGACGGGTTGGTTCTGGCCAGTCATAATGCGGAATCGGGGACGCTGGCTGCGAGGAAGGCGAGGGAAATTGGGGTTGGGAAGGGGAAGGGGAGGGTGGAGTTTGCGCAGCTTTACGGGATGGCAGAGTCGCTGTCGATGGGGTTGAAGGACGCCGGGTTTCGGGTCAGCAAGTACATGCCGTTCGGGCCGATTGAGGTTGTGATGCCGTATTTGATCAGGAGGGCGGAGGAGAATCGGGGGATGCTGTCCACTTCCGCCATTGACAGGGAGCTCATGAGGTGAAAAATCGAAGAAGCTGATTACCATTTAACCACGCGATCGATGTCAATCTGTATACTTTTAACTGTTTGAGTAATTTGTTTGGGTTGTTAATTCTTGCAGGAAGGAGTTGAAGAGACGAGTGAAAGCAGCAGTTTTCGGGACTTCGAAAGGCCAGGAGTGAATGAGCAAACAAGGGGATTAATCCAAATGTGTTTGGTGTACTTTTTCTCGTTCATGGTTCTGCTCTGTATCATGTAAGTGTCCTGCTTAGCTCTGCAATGGTGGATCAATTAAGCAATGTAATTTAAGGAAAGGAAGTTGCCCAAATGTTATGGCAACCTCTCCTGTCATCGTCAATGGCTACTTTTGCACATATGTAGGCGATATACAATGCAGGTGGGAAGTTGCGTTCGATAAACAGACAGTGACAAGTTTAGCATAAAAAGCAAGTTTACCGTTTGGGAAGGAAATGATGAGGTCACTTGGGTGTGCAATTACAATGTGGGGATTTGTTGCATAACAATACAAATATGGGATTCAATTCAAGCTACAAATGTGTCGAGTTATGGAGATTGCTATCTAGATGTATACACAAGGGTCACTCTCTTATATCATCGAAAATTTGTCCATAATCATAATATATGACTTTTGGGTTATGTAATTTTTAATACTTACCGTACGTTTAAAGTTATGGTACTACTTCAGGTTGTACGTAAATCTCTTTATGCTTCAAACTAAAGTTGTACATGTATATGTTATGGTACAATTTGATGTTTTGTCATAACATAAATGTACACATTCATTTATGGTACAACTTCATGGAGTACTTTAAAACAACAATGATTTAAAGCATAATTGAAGTGCTCTATATTTTTAACGCCCCAAACGAATCCCTTTCATATGTTTCACCCTACAACTTTCAATCAAAATAAATAAATCAGCCTATCTTTTTGTCGAAAGTGAAAAATTGGATTCATGGGATTGCCGATTAGTATTTCACAGCGGGAAGGTCGAGTAGAGGAGCGAGTGTGTTAGGTACTATATATGCTCTGGATGGATCAAGCTACTCGCTTAGGTTCACATATTAGGGTTGCTAAGCTCTGCATATTGAGTGTTGTTGTTTCCTCCTTCCATACTGAGTTTAGAATTCGGCCACAAGGTGGGGAAGGCTATAACTCTTTCGGTGGAGTAAATGTATCACACTGTTGTTCTTAGTGTGAGATATAAGGGCAAACTCCTCCACATACAATTGGAATGCCATAGTTTACTGTAGGAAATGGTAAAGCATTCATGGATGAAGATGAGTTTCAATTGGTTGTAAGGAAATGAAAACAAACGGGAGGCATTGGAGAATTGTCTAATGGTTCGGAAGTGCCTGCCTCAGTCGATTATGGTTTGCTCGAATTCCTTTGTATGCAGAGGGACAGGCTCGTGTTGCTCCTAGTTCTCCTCCAAGGAAAAGGAGTAATACAAGGGGTTAAATGAATTTTTTGGGTTGGAATATCAAAAGATTTAATGCACCCAAGAAGTAAATAAACAGTTATATAAACATAAAGTTAGCAACATTTGAAATTTATACTGATTCTTCCAACAAAACTTAATCAGAAATGAAAATGTCGTGACGATTGACTTTTCATAAAAGAAAAACAAAATATTACACTTAACGAATATCAGAATATTTAGATGTTGGTAACGATTGAACCCATATACTCAAATGAATATTCGAAGATAATATACACTTAAATTTCCAAACTTCTAAGTTCCTTGACACTATTATCTGTCATGTGTCCAATCCTTCTCATAAGCGCATACGAAACCAAAGTCTGGGTTTCTTGAAGTGGCAACATTTCATGCTTACGTAGGTTGAATCTTTTATTTGTGTACCTGCACAATACACTTTTTCAAAGATTCAATTAAGAAAATTTTATACTTCATCTTGTTCTCTCGTGCTGGATAACAAGCACATGCCTTGGAATGACAAATTGTGTCCTTTAATTTCTGATAATTAGCTTTCCTCATTGAATTCAGCCTCTAACGTTGTATTAGAGGGGAACAGGGTATCCCATGATAAAAAATTATATGGACTTTAAATCCATCCCTTTGACAGACTTGACCAGTTGACCACCAAGTCACTAGTTAATCATTTCCTCAAATGATGAACTAATTATTTCTATCCGGTCGTATTGTATAGACACACCTCCATGATTGATCAGTTCATAGATTTTACCCTGCCTACCTCCCACATGACCGTACTTGCCATTTTCACTTGGCTACATGTCTTAGTCATAGTAGCATTACTATCATAAAAGATGATGATAATGTACCCTAATTTTTGTGTTTCTATTAAATTAAGGGACATGCCGGAGATTCTTTTAATTATTAATTACTAAAAAATAAAATAACTATGAACCATTCAATTACTACATTACCTTTAATTAAATTGAATTAATTGAAGTCATTAGATCTTAATAATTAGATCTTAATAAGATTGAAGGGCTGAGATCGACTTAGCCAAATGACTAAGAAATCCACTTGACTTAATCACGTGATCTTATCCTCTTATCCCTGTACAAATTGGAGAGGAATTGAATGAACTTGTGACTTATTTCCACAACCATAAAGGCACTTGATCTTGACCACCCATTTATTTTTCCTCTTTTGCAATTTCGAGCGATGAGTCATTTTGTCGGTCACTCGCAATCAGCGGTACCCAATAATAGAACAGATCCTTTAATTTTTCCCCCATGCAAATCTATTCTATTTTTGAACAAGTTCCCCAACCTAATCAGTTGACACATGGCAAGCTGCAATACACGTAAGGAGTCGATTGGACACGCGTCTAGTTGTGAGTTGGGCATCCCTGCCCTATAAAATACGCTCCCCTCCCTCACCATTTATTCATTACCCACTACCAAAAGTAAAAAAAAATAAAAATTGTCTATTTAGCAAGAAACGTAACAGGAAGAAGATCGGAGAAGAAATGGCGAGCAACACCGAGAAGATGTCGTACCACGCCGGCGAGACCAAGGGCCAAGCTCAGGTAAGTAACTCATCCAACGTGAATGCATGAATTTGAACCCCTTATTTTGATGATGATAATAATGAGAATTATGGAATGGAATGGGGAACAGGAAAAGGCGAGCGGGATGATGGACAGGGCAGCGGGCGCAGCGCAATCTGCAAAGGAATCGGTGGCAGAAGCAGGAGGGCAGATGAAGGCCAAGGCTCAGGGAGCAGCTGAATCCGTCAAGGACGCCACTGGGATGAACAAGTCTAACTAACCCATCACATCCTAATCCTATCACAATCCGTCCCGCCAAAAATAAAATTAAAACAAATCGCTTTTTTTTTAAATCTTCTTCTTTCAGTTTCTTTTCCCAGCCATGGCGGGTTTGTTTTGTTAGTAGAATAATGTAACTCAGAAAAAGACTAGAGGATCGATCACTGTGGTACTGATCTCTCTCTCTCTGCCGCCCTCTCTACATATATCCAATCATGTAATTCAGATATGAAAAAAAAGAAAGCAAAAAGAACTTCTTGTCGTCATCACTCTTATGTATATTGATTTCTTTTGTTCGAACAATTAGCTAATCATTATTTTCAGTACATCCTCAACTGTTTTTATTGGTTCAAACCTAATTCTAGGGTTCTAGTGTTGGATGATTGGGGATTTAGGGATTTGTAGATAAAATTGGGGATTGAGATTCGAAATTTGCGGAAGAAGAAGAAGAAGAAAAAAAAAATCGGCCAAAATTTTGGATTAGGGAATAAGAGAAATTAGGAGACAGGGAGAGGTTAGGATTTTAAAGGTAATTTTTTTTATTGATTTCAGGTTAACCAAACAAAAAATCCAAAATATGTGGTTATAGCTAAAGACTAGAAAAACTTAATAGATTATCATAATATAACTCAAATACTTAAAATATTAACCCTCATAATAATAGCAATTATAGAAAATATAGGTTTCTATTAGTTCGTTAGGAGAAGATAGGGTGATAAGATGGATAAGTTTATGTTGGGGGTATACGAATAAGGAGGCCCCGATATATGGATGAGGCCCGTTAAAGGGTGTGAAGCCCAAACAGTCCGAGGAAGGGTGAGCCCATTCAAGATGGGGTAGGTCATGATAGGCGCCTTCGGGCTTAGATCAAGAGCAAGTTGGGAGTTGCATACACTAGGCGCCTAGGGGTACTCGCACAATAGGTGCCTAGGTAGGCACTTGGGAATTGTGGGCACACGAAGAGGGCGCCTGGAGTCATCTTCGGAGGAGGCGCCCTGGGTCACCTGCATTAAATGTAGGGCTGACGTGGAAATCCGTACGAGAAGGTCCAGGTAAGCAGTAATTGGCTATAAATAGGGAGGTGGGTAAGCATTTACTCAATTTGGCTTCTCTCACTAAAAATTGTGCATTGCAAGCACTTCTCTCTCTAAGAAAGATACTGACTTGAGCGTTGGAGGACTAACGGGCCACAAGGCCCACCTCTGTGAGTGCAGGCTTCATTGGGAGGGAGTCAGCTGGTACGGAAGAGAAGTAGGCCGATCGAGTGGGCTTCAACAATTGGCGCGCCAGGAAGGGGCCGGGACACAACAAGAAAGCGCCTAGTTTCAATGGAGGGTGGAAGCGAGATGGAGGAGCAACACATGGGGGAGGCGTCTCAAGAAGCAGGAGGAGGAACGCCCAGCATGGGGGAGGATGAGGGAAGTGAAGACCCGCGCCCGGATTCAGATGGAGCCTCGGTGACTAAGAAGGAACTGTTCAAGATCATAGCCGATCAAGACGAGGCCATTGGGATGTTAAGGAGAGAGGTGGAAATGTTGAAGGAGGGCGCCCCAAGTCCCGGAGCAAGGAAGAGGGAGCGTACGATGGAAGCTGAAGGGGAGTCCAGCTCGCTGAGGCGCCTTGCCAGCATGAGGCGCCTGGCTGATTACGGAGATTCGGAGGGAGAGAGGAATGTGTGGATGCCGGGGCGCCCGCATCGACAGTTTGTGGTAAGGCAACCTTTGGCCCGGAGCGTGCTCATGGAGCCCGCTAGTACCAACATTCCGCCGCTTCCCACCTATGATGGTACGGCGGACCCGGACGACCACCTCAACAGCTACTTCACCAAAATGCAGTTGTACAACAGTTCGGACGCAACTTTATGCAAGGTGTTCCCCTCAACATTCTCAGGCGTCGTATTAGATTGGTACCATCAGATCGAGGAAGGGCGCATAGAATGCTTTGAGCAGTTTGCGGCGATGTTCCTGGCTAAGTTCGCAAGTAGAAAGAGGCGCACACTGACCGTGGGCTCACTATTTAAGATCAAGCAGAAGGAGGGAGAAACCTTGAGGGAGTTCTATGAGCGATGGATCCCGGTGGCCATGGCGGTGAGAGATGTGCAGCCCCCGGTGCTTGGAGTCCTCCTCGAGGAGTGCACCACCAGTGAGGAACTTTGTCGGGCGCTAGCTAAAAGGGATGTAGTGTCTACGGAAGATTTGGATCGAAGGGTGCAGAAAGTTATAGTGTTGGAGGAGGCGCTAGCGTCAAGGCGGGCCGACAGGCGCCGACCCAGGGGAGAAGAAGGAGATGGACGAAGGCAGGCGCCCGAGTCTAGGCCTTTCTACGGAGGAACGTCGGTCACACCGGTGCGGAGGAGTGATCCGGGGCGCCCGGCGCCTAAAGTGAGTCAATTCACGGAGCTTAACGACTCGCCGAAGAACGTGTTGCAATACGTAAAAGATAAGGGGTACCACGTGAGATGGCCAGGGCCTATGAGGGGGCAACCCAACCCACAAAATCTGGATAGATTTTGTGACTTCCATCGGGAACGGGGGCACAATACAGTTGATTGTTACCAGTTGAAGACTGGATTGCAAGGATTGGTGGACAGGGGCATGCTTAATGAGTTCGTCAAAAAACCGGAAGAGAGGGTGCACAGGGCATATGTGGCCCGAGCGGGGCCCAAGGAGGATCTCCCCCCGCCTCCATTCGAGCTAGATCAGGAAAAGGCGCCTGAGAAGGTGAGGCTTACGGTGGACGCGATTACAGGCACCGAAGATTTGAGAGAGAAATTGGAAGCTAGCAGGCGCCTAAGAGCAGCATCGGTTGATCGACACGAAGGGGTGTGCATTAGTTTCAATCAGGTGCCTGATGAAGCTTATGGGGTCCCCTCCTTAGAGGCGCCGGAGATTCAAGGAATAGTGGCAGGGTGCATGGTAAAGAGGATGCTCGTGGATACGGGGAGTTCCATGGACGTGCTGTTCAAGGATACGGTAGCGCGCATGCACTTGTCTCCTGACTTAATTCGACCGTCGGACTCGATGCTCGTCGGGTTCTCAGGGGCGCCCGCGAAGGTAATAGGGCGCGTGCGCCTCCCTGTTACTTTGGGCGATGAAGAGCAGCGGGTCACTCATGCTATCGATTTTGGGATTGTGGATTGCCCCTCCCCCTACAATGCTATACTCGGCAGGCCCCTTTTGGCCTTGTTCAATGGGGTGGCGTCCACTTGTCATCAGACGTTGAAGTTCATAGCGCCGAAGGGAGTGGGCATCGCAAGAGGAAGAGGCGCCCCCATTTATACTATGCTTAAGGGCGTGCGGCCGCGTAAAAGTCAAAGGATCAATACGATTACGTCCGAGGAGGCGCCCAGAGCGGAGGCGGCCGACGAAGAATTGCTGATCCCCTTGGATGAGGGGCGACCGGAAAGGCAGATCAGGATTTCGGTCCAGGCGCCTCCCGAAATGGTCGAGAAGTTGGTCGCTCTGTTGAAAGAATTTGCGGAGTTGTTCGCGTGGAGTGCTAAAGAAATGCCCGGGGTGGCGCCTGAGACGGCTGTGCATAAGTTGGCAGTTGAGGAAGGGAGGAGGCCGGTTCAGCAGAAGAGAAGGAACCTTTCTCAAGAAAAGGAGGCCCTGCTTAGGGTGGAAGTGGATAGGCTCCTAGACGCCGGGTTTGTCGAGGAGGCAACCTATGTCACGTGGTTATCCAATGTGGTGTTTGTCCCCAAGCCAGCAGGAGATTGGAGGATGTGTGTGGATTTCACAAGTCTCAACAGGGCGTGTCCGACGGACGCATACCCGATGCCCCGCATAGACCTGCTAGTGGACGATACGGCTTATCATGAGATGCTCAGTTTCCTCGACATGTTTTTCGGGTACCATCAGATCCCCATGGCCGAAGAAGATCGGTTGAAGACAGCCTTCATGACGCCCTTCGGGAACTTTTGCTATAGAGTCATGGCATTTGGACTGAAGAATGCGGGCGCCACATATCAACGCATGGTGAATACGGTCTTCCAACGGCAGATTGGGCGGAACGTGGAGGCGTATGTGGACGACTTAATAGTCAAGAGTCACAAACGGGGGGATCACTTAGGTGATTTAAGGGAGACCTTTGAAACCATGCGCCTGCACAACCTTCGGCTCAACCCCCTGAAATGCGTCTTCGGCGCGGAGGCAGGCAAGTTTTTGGGCTTCATGATCACTAAGAGAGGGATTGAAGCGAACCCGAAGCAAGTGGAGGCCATCATCAAACTCGCACCGCCAAGGACGCCTAAGGAAGTACAAGGCCTAGCGGGGCGCCTCGCAGCCCTGGGGCGCTTCATACCAAGGTCGGCCTACAAGACGACCCCTTTCTTCAGGATCCTAAAGAAGGCGGTTCGTTTCCAATGGGACGAGGCGTGTAGCGAGGCGTTCGAAGACCTGAAGCGCCTATTGGCGGCGCCCACGGTCATGACGGCACCCAAGGCCGGGGAGGTCCTGTATTTATACATTGCGGTCTCGGACGTGGCAGTCAGCGCGGTACTAGTGTCAAAGGAGGCGCCTACGGGGGAAGAGAGGCCGGTGTACTATGTGAGTAAGACGATGGGACCACACGAGAAACGGTATGCGCCTATTAAAAAGGCCGCCTTGGCAGTCGTGACCGCCGCTACCAAGTTACGCCCCTATTTCCAGGCGCATGCTATCGTTGTGCTCACCAATTTACCTCTCAAGTCTACACTGGGCTCCATGGACGTGGCTGGGCGCCTTGTTAAATGGGCCGTTCAGCTAAGTGAGTTCGACATCCGGTACGCGCCCCGACCGGCCATCAAAGCTCAGGTGATTGTCGATTTCATGGCCGAGGGAGTAGTGGAGACTGAAGGGGTCGACCAGGAGACGTGGCAAGTTCAAGTAGACGGGGCGGCGAGCCGCGTGGGCGCCGGGGCAGGAATAGTAATTATTAGCCCAAGTGGAGTCATGCATGAGATTGCTCTACGGTTCTCAGAACTTAAGACCAACAATGCGGCTGAGTATGCAGCGGTCGTAGCAGGACTCCGCATGGCACGAGAATTGGGCGCCCAACATGTTAGTGTCAAATCCGATTCGGCCCTTGTGGTCAACCAGCTCAATGGGGCGTTTGATGTTAAGGAGGAAGCCTTAGAAGCCTATGTCCAAGCGGTCAGAAGAGAAGGCGCCTGGTTCAGGGAGATAGAATTCGTGCACATCCCAAGAGAAGAAAACGCCCATGCCGATGCACTATCCAAGTTGGCCACGGCTTTAGACTTCGCTGAGGAAAGGAAAGTTATCGTCACGAAAGAGGTCCCACAAGAATACGTGGTAGCAACCGTGGGGGGCTCTATGGAAACTGACGGTTGGATGGTGCCCATCTTGGGATAC